AAATATCCCTAAGATGCAGAAATGTGAACATATGCACAGCAACTTATAGTTTAATTTTTAATTAAATACATAAACATTAATATTTCGGGACTACCGCACCTCCTCCGAAAGCACGGGGGGGGTGTGCGTGAACCTCGGTTCGCGTGGAAAGTGTATGCGTGAACTATTTCGGGACTACCGCACCTCCCCCGAAAGCACGGGGGAGGGTGTGCGTGAACCTCGGTTCGCGTGGACAGTGTATGCGTGGAGGCAGTAGGTTCCGCCCCCCTGCGGGGGGCTCCATTTTTTTCAGTAAAGCAGAGTATACAGCAGAGTATATAAACTAATATATTTGTACTTTGTGTATGATTTTATAGTTGTTTACATTACTTGAGAGCTGTTTTGGTTTGTTTCGCGTGGAAAATGTATGTGCGGAGACAGTAAGTTAAAAATGTTAAAAAAGTTGCTAAACTTTGGAGTCGCAAAAAATCCTTTTGGTATATGTGTTTTCTATCTAAAAGGAACCTATTCACAAAGTTTCACCTAAATCTGAGCATGGACGTTTTCGGAAGTACAGCCTTCAATTTTGAATATATTCCTGCATCTTTGGGATATTTTGTCGTAAGATATTTTGCTAGGGGATATTTTGTCATGGGATATTTTGCCATGAGATATATTGTCGCGGGATGTTCTGTCGCTGGGATAATAAGACCGGGATATTTTGTCGCGGGATGTTATGTCCGGGATATTTAGACGTGACACCAACTTAGATTCATTTTAGATTACAAAATTATTTTATTGTAGGAGTCGCCAAAATTCCGTTTAAAGGCTTTTATCTTAATCTGAAATAAAGCTTTTTACAAAGTTTCATCGAAATCGGAGGAAGACCATTTCCGGAGCTCCACCCCAATTTCTTTTTAAATATTTCAAATTTGTTACTATTGATAAAGTTATTCACTAATAAGTACGTGGATCATTGTATCAGTCCGTCCTCATATATCTCAAACATAAAGAACGTAAATCATCCCTGAAAAACAAATGGAATCTTCTCGAACATCGTAACATTCACAGGATAGAGTGTTTTAATCACCGAGGATCGCGCTTGTTGAAGATGTGAACTACTCGTGAACGTAACACCCTCTGTATTCTTCACTACCACAGACAGAAAAAAAGAGGGTAAAGTGAGAGGTGGTGGTACTAGAAGGGATGAAAATGGAGCTAAGCGCGATAATTAGTGTCGGAAAGGGTTAGTCGGCTGAGAGGGTATGAGTTGTATCGCTCCATGGAAAAGCGAGAAGCTATATAGGAAGAAACAGTCCGTTCTCCTGAAAATGAGTTTCTGAAAGGAGAGTTTAAATCCAAAGGATAAAAATTGAATCTCGTCGTTAATGGCATTGCAAAATACATTACGGAAATCAAAAGTAAAACATCCGGAAGCTTCACTTACGACCGCTTTATTTTCGTTCATATCGATTAAATCGAATCGATTTTAAATGTTTTAAACATAAAATATATTATCAATATACAGGCGTTCAAAAAACCATTCGCGTAATATAAAATAAGAAAAGATTCTCAAATTTGAAATCGCGACAAAGCTAACTTAACTCCAAAAACACCGATAATTAATTAATAACACATCCAAGAATATATCGCGTAAGTAACACAATTCAAATGATATTCACACACAGTTACTTTATTAAGACGCAAATTGACATATCTATATATTTTTCTTGCAGATGTCAGCAGAAGAAAAACATTAGAGCTAGCGAAGACATCTTTCTCACAGGGATGTTTACGCAAGGCTCATTGAATCGAATCACTTTCACGTTATAATTTATAAGACGGTTCACTTCTGCAGGTTATCGTAACAGGGTTCAACGCGATGCAGCGCACTTGTGTCTACACGAGATACTTCTCCCTTTCATTATCCACGATGCTCTTTGCGCTGCAATACAGAAAAGCGCTTCCTCGTGCTAAGAAGACGGCGCGCGCGGGAGTATACAACCGGAAAAGAGGAAAGAGCCGAACGAGAGGCGCGAGAGGCATATACGTTTACATGAGAGAAAGATCGAGAGACACGGATGGGGGTGGGAGGAGGAGGAGGGTAGAACGCATTGCATTCGCATATTGTGCAAGGGGATTACCTCGGATTATGCCCGACTGCGAGCGCAAACAGGATCACGTCACTTCTGTTTGCAAGACGCCAAGCTGTCGATTTAGTGAACTCGAACTCGACTTTATCTCGCGTGGAATCGCCAATGGAACAGCGATTTTCCGAGAGGCTTTTTTTTCCTTAGTCATATGCTATTTAAGTCCAACAAGATTAAACATCGGATAAAGAAGAGTTACTACATGGGCGACCAAGAGTACATTTTAAATTTCTCTTTCAAGTAATCATAAAATAATGTAAGATATGTGTCGTAATCGTGGAAATATAAATTGGTGTTTCAATTACAGAGAAGAAATTATTAAATTTTTTATTCAACTGTTTTTTTCTTCAGCAAACACTTCAACGAGATACGATTTTTTCAAAATAACTTCTCCGACATTAAATATTTTTATCATAATCTTTTATTAAATTCAGAATAATATCATCTGATTGCCGATTAAATAAGGCATTCTTTATAATCGCATCTTTTGTTAACAGAATTCTTCAACTAATTTTTGGATGAATTAAGATCTATGGATACGAATTAATAGCGATTCAATTAATTGTTTAAAGAAACAAATTGTCAAAAGCATATTTCGTTTTCGTTGGAAAAACGGAGAAGATTCTTATTGTTAGTTGAATTAAGAAATTGTCATCGTTAAACTGGTCGAAGATCATTCACTGCTGGACGAGATGTGGAAAAATGGACTCGCGTGGTTATCGCGGGACAAATTCGAACTCTTCTTGAACGCTTCGCAAATGCAACGCAACGCAACGCAACGCAACGCAACGCAACGCGGCGAGACGCCGCGCCGGGTGCAACGGAGCGGTGGCGGGAAGGTAGCATTATACACGCGGATGGTAATAGGTTTCATATCCACGAGCTGCCGGCGCATTATGCTTTACATTTCCGGCGAAACACTGTTAATGGCACCCACCGCCGTCGCTACCGCGACTACCATCGAAATCCACCCCGTAATACACGCCCAACAGCCCCCACAGGCATTAACCGCTCGCGCTACCGTATAAAGTGACTTCCGCCCGCGATTACGTTCGTCGTGAGCACGTATACACGTTTGTGCGTTTGTACGTTAATTATTAATTAACGCGGGCGAAGAATGAGGCCGCGTATTATCGACGATAAACTGTTTCGCGTAATCGAGGACGATTGAGAGATAAATCGCTTTAACGTAACGCACGCAGCTTGTGCGCGGGATTAATTAATTCGATTTCAAGTACCTGCATGCTTTTGTATTTCTTTTTTTACTTTTACAAAGTTTACACACATGCGCGCACACGCGTAGGCAAACAGGTGTATTTTTAACATCTCCTTATAAAAAATCTTATATAAATGTTGTATTTGTTATCTTTTAGGAAAGTCTGACACACGTATACGTTTGAATCGTTATGCAACCAAATTTACGTCATTATTACTTTGATAAACTTACATCCCTCTTCTTGTGTATCAACAAAATAACGTAATATGAAAATGTTAACACATGTATGGATCTGTGCAAAATAACTGCAATAATCAAAGCAACTGTAATTAATTGTGAAATTACTTCTGAATCTTGAAAAAATATTGGAGTACGTCGTTTACGTTTTTCAGTGCATTCAGCAACATAATTTCTACAATCATTATATTTTTTATCTTTAATTCCCA